TTTTTTGAGATAATGTCTTGCTAAATTGCTGAGTCTGGCCTCCAACTTTGATTCTCCTGCCTCAACCTCTTGAGTAATAGGCATGTGCTACTGTGCCAGCTTAAGACTGTTTTCAAATAAATTGTTCACTAACATAAATCATGTTGCAGTGGATATCCCTGAATGACAAGGCCCTCCAATCTGCCCCTCTGACTTTACCTGTGCTGTTTGCTCTCTTCTACTTCTCAACACACTCTAGCCACTCATGCCTTTTCTACTGTTCCTTGAGATGCCAAGCTCATTCCTGTCATGAGCTCATTGCATTTGCTGTTCTTCCTCTGATTTTTTCCTGACTTTCTCTTTTGTTCAGATCTCAGACATCTATCCACCCTTTTCCTAACCCATCATTCTCAATGGTTTCTCTATATTTTCTTTACTTTTTCTACATCATCATCTAAAATTATTTTGTTTTTCTGTCTCTTTCCACAAGAATGTGTTTCATGAAGGCAAAGTTCTTAAACTCTATTGTATTCTCAGTACCTAAAAACAGTACATGGCATATAGATACTCACAAAAGTTTCGTTGAATGAATACATCTATTTACATACCAATGTCTAGTTCCTTAGTATAAATTCCTACATGTATAGGAAGAAATAGGATAGGATCAAAGGACAGGAAATCTTTTAAAGTATATGTGCTGTCAAAGCAAGAACAACAGGAACATTTTTAAGGCTGATAATATTTTCAGGCGGGTGTATTGGTGCACACCTGTAATCCCAGCTACTAGAGTGGCTGAGGAAGAAGGATTGCAAGTTTGAGGATGGCCTTGACAATTTAGAGAGACCCTGTCTCAAAATAAAATTTAAAAAGGTCTGCTTAGACATAGAGCACCTGTGGGTTCCACCTCCAGCATGAAAAATCATCATCATCACCATAATCTTAGTCATACTTGCCAACTCTAGTCATTATGATAATAAAAAAAATTTAAGGGAGGATGGGAGGGAAAGGGAGATTACTAAGAAGTAAGATTAATCAAATTATGTATGGGCATGGGCATGTATAAATATGTCATAATGAATCCTACTATTATATATAATTTTAACCACCAATAAAAAAATAAATGATATTGGGAATGGTGGTTTACACCTGTAATCCCAGTGACTCGGGAGGCTGAGGCAGGAGGACTGCCAAGTTCAAAGCCAGTCTCAGCGACGTAGTGAGGTTCTAAGCAACTTAGCAAGACCTCTGCCTCAAAATAAAAAAAGTGCTGGGAATATAATTAAGTGGTAAAGTGCCTCTGGGTTCAATCCCTCGTACCAAAATTTGTTTTTAAAAAGTGAAAAATTATTTTTTATTGTTTTCAATAAGACAAACAAAAGATAAAATTCTATGACATGTCCTAAAGATACCTTACCCGGATAACATTGGTCTATTGATGGTTGTAGCCTGGTTACATTCCTTCAGCCATTTACAAATTCATCTAAATGCTTAAAAATGTTCTGTTACCTTGTCCTTGTTTCTATATTTTATCCAAAGAGATAATATAAACGATGCACCTGAAGAACTGTCATAAAGAACAATAATTAGACTTTTACATTGCTGAGACCCATTGGGAAGCCAGGCACAGTGGTGCATGCTTATAATCTCAGCTACTGGAGCAGTTAAATCAAGAGGATCACAAGTTTGAGGCCAGCCTCAGCAACTTAGGGAGACCCTGTCACAAAAACAAAAACACTAGGACAGCTCATTTCAGCTAAACAAGGAACATCTTTCTAACAAGTGGAATACAATGAGCTGCCTGTGAGTTTCCCCTTATGCTATTTTTTTAAATGTTGATGGACCTTTATTTTATTCATTTATTTACCTGTGGTGCTGAGAATTGAACCCAGTGCCTCACACATGCTAGGAAAGCACTCTACCATTGAGCCTCAACCCCAGCACTCCCCATGCTAGTTTTTAAGCAAGCAGAGGCTAAACACTCTGTAGTGGTAGTACAGAACAGCCATGACACACAGGATATATATAGTCACGAGTGTCACGTACATGAGGTGTAGCTTCATCCTTATTGTCTCTCATCCCAGGAATCAGGTCAGAATGTCAGAGAGGTAGTAAGACTTTGACACAGACATAACCATATATGTATAATATGTACGCGGTGTGTGTGTGTACACCAACTACTGGCAATTTTGCAAACTCCTTTCCTCAGAGGCTTTAGACTGATAGACCCAACCTGATTTTCTCTCAAAATTGGGATTCATCTCACCACAAAGCCATGAAAAGCTAATTTCGACTTTACTATAAATTACTGCAAATTCTGAACCTGCATGGAATGCCTGCCGGTGCCTTGAACCCACCCATGCTTGGCTCTCTGACCAGATAGCAGCCCTCTCTGAAACTTTAGTGATGCCTCACAAATCTTGGCCTTCCCTGGCCAGATAACGACCTTCTCTGAGGCTCTAATGGTCCTCATAAATTCTGACGTTGGGGCCAGCAAAAAATGTAAACTACCATTAGTGTGATGCTTGTCAGAGTTCTGTTATTTGTAACCCCCCTTTGTGTAACTTTCTGGGCTATAAAGCTGAGCTGCAGGAAAGCTGCTGCTGCTGTCTTGTTTCCTGTGGTTTTGGGCAGGAGAGGCAGCCCAGGGGTCGAAATAATAAGCTTGCTTTAATTTGATTTTGATTGGAGTCAGTGATCTTTTCTTGCGTCCTGGTCTAACAAGACCCTCTAACATTTTTTTTTTTCTGTGTATACATCTCAACTCAGCCTTCAAATCTACATTCAGTTCATGCTTTCCACTTCAACCATAGTAAGGTGTCCATAAATGCTTGTTGAGGAAATGAAAGAAAGACATGCTCTGCCCCATTTTCTTTAATGTCCCAATACCCATTCTTCTAGCATTTTTAAATTTTTGCAATTTGCTATGCAATGTGCCAAAAATGTTCTCCCTGTTTGCTCAAGATGAAAGACTTACCTTTCTATCTTATAATGCAGCAATAGTCACCTTTCAATAACATCTTCCTAAATTAGGCCTTGTTAATTTGACTTTAAAAACCCAAAAACCCCTTAGTCCAGCTTCCAGAGATAAATATGCTGAAGTTCTAGTTATGCTTCTACTTCTTTGCCTTGTTTTCCCATTAAATTATGTTTTCTGGGGCCAAGGATGGACTCTTAGTCCCATTTTGAACATGTGGTATGTTGCACTTCTGATGACTCTGGCTGAACAAATACCTTAATACCACACAAGTACCTATTCCTTCCAACTTGCTTCAGCTCTGGTATTGTGGCTTTACAAGGCTCAGTTCCCCATGTGGTGAGCTATCAGCTAATCAGATCAAATAAGCTTCTAGGAAGCCAGCTAAGGTAATGTGTGAATTGTTCTTTGTAAGTGGAATGTGGCTGTAGGGCACAGCTGGGGTAGTGGTGGTGAATTGTAGTGCCTAGGAAGTTAATATTTCAACATAAAACATCTATGTTTGATAATTGTGTAGGTCTATCATTGTTTAAGTAAATAAAGCATGCCTCGATGTCAGATTGTTCCTAACTAGCCTTAACTTGGTGTGTTTAATCTTAATTATTAGCTTTTTCTGTAATTCCTTTAGCCCCTTAGCCTAGTGAGCAAAAATCACTATAATAGGCAAGAAAGATAAATTACCCACTGAGCTTCTGATCTGCAGTTTTTACTGACATGACATCATTGGTAGAAACAAACTGTACTCAGAGAATATTCAGTTTTAAATCCCATTATTTGATTTTATGACCTTGGGAAAGATCATTACCCTTCTGTGGGTCTGAGGTCTAGCTATAAAATGCAAATAATAAATATCTCAGTGGATATTTTGTGATGATTAAAAGATTACATAAATGAGAATGATATGTAAACTATAAAGTGCCCTAAAAATATGAAGGACTGGTATGATCGATTTTTAATCAGCTTCAATGAAATGGTATAGAACACTACCTACTCAGGCTAGGAAGATCCTGAGAAAACAAAGAGAGCCACCTTGTACACTCAGGCTGCCCTCCCTCTCTGTTGGCCCTAGGTTTTACACAGAGCTGGCCCAACAAATCCCCCTTAGGGGAGTCAATGACTCTGAATGGGATCCAAGGGGCTTGGATGCAGGATAGGGGCCAGAACATTCCTAGATTAAGAAAACTATCTCACTGACAGTGAATATAAATGAGTAGAATCCTTAACTGACTTAAAGAGCTGGCTCCTACCCCTTGGGTGTTCTTCTTGGACACCTTAACTAATTTTGCTGGCTTCCATTCTTCATCGTCTTCATCTTCACCATCACCATCACCATCACCATCACCATCACCTTCCTCATGTTCACGGATAATATTTAGATCCTTGATGTCCATGCTTTGCTCTATAAATTTTTCTTTAACACGGGAAGGTTTTGGCTAAGAAAAAATATTTGAAGTGATTATTTAATAAAAATTAAATAATACATATGGTATCATATCTTCCCAGTAGCTGCTTCCAGCTATATTCTCAAAGCAGAGATTTCAGACTCCTCAAATATATCCCACTTGTCTTTACCAATCAGAAAAAAAATTGCTTTAGCCTTTGGCCTCACAGAGTCTTTGAAGGGATAGAAACTGGATGCTGATCAATCTGAGGGAGGAAGGGAGGACTCATGATGTGATGAGATAATGATTTTTGGATGGACAGCTGAACATTGCTCTTTTTTTCCTTCTCCTCCTCCTCAGTTGTATTACATAAAGCCAATTCATGGACAAAAGTCAGAATTCTTTTTTTTTTTAATATTTTTCTTTAGTTGTAGATGGACACAATGACTTTATTTTATTTATTTTTATGTGGTATTGAGGATTGAACCCAGTGCCTCATGCATGTTAGGCAAGCACTCTACCACTGAGCCACAACACCAAACAAAAGTCAGACTTCTGAGGAAAAAAACACACCTATTTTTCATAGGACTCTATAATTCTACTTAGGACTCTAAGAAAAACTGAGATTTAGAATTTGGGTATTTTAACTGTTAACCTTTTAAAAAAGGTAATTTTGCATACTCACCCTGAACTTGGGCTATGCAAAGTTATCGTAGGTATTAAGCATTTTACCTTGGGTGGGATATATTCAAAGGAAGAGTCTGGAGATAGAAGGTTATCCTTAGGAAGATGAGGTTTTGTTCTGCTGGCTACTTGGAGGAGGGTCAGTTTCTATTTGAAAAAGAGAGACAGAGAGTAAAATGTAGGCAGCTTTTAGGAGTGCTCATGGCTAAAACACCAAACTTCCAAACATTTTTTTAATGGTGCTGGGGATAGAACCCAGGACTAAGTGCATGCTACACAAGTGCTCTACCACCGAGCTACATTCCAAGTTCAGCCAGCTCAATTTTAAACCAAGTAAAGTGAGGCAGGCTTAGAGTAGGTTCAAGGACTCCTACTTTCTAAGATTGTTATCTGATCAAAAAGAGGCATATTTTAAAACTTGTGTTTTTACCACTTTGAAATGCACATGATTGGGTCACATGGAAACACAATGTAGACCTCAAAAAGTACAGCTAAATCACCAAATTAAGGGTTGTTCCTAAGTGGTGGCCTCAGTGGCAATCAGCTGTCCCAGGGCCTTATCAAGTCGATGGGGAACTCTATTACCTGCTTCATGAGTTCATTCTCTTGGAGAAGCTGCTGATTTTGCTCACATACTTCTTGCATCTTCTTCAGTTCTTCATCCTATTTTCAGATAGTGTAGTGATAGGTGGGGTTATTTGGGGCACTACGTGTAGGTTACTAAAGAACTCACTTAGATCAAAAAAAAAAAAAAAGAAAAGAAAAAACATACTGCTGCCAAGTTCCTGGCAACAGATGGGTTTTGCATAGCAGGCACTGGCACCCAGAAAATTACCTTACTCCCAATTTCTAGGTGTCCTAAATACCTCTTTTTTTAAGGGATTGGGGTGAACCCAGTGGCAGTCTAATACTGAGCTGCATCCCTAGCCCTTCATTTTTTATTTTGAGACAGGGTCTTGCTAAGATGTCTAGGCTGGCCTTGATCTTGTGATCCTCCCACATAGGCTTCCCAAATCGCTGGAATTACAACTGAATACCACTTCTATTCCAATGTTCCTCATCAGCACTAACCACACTAGTAGGAACCGTGGACTCAGTCTGAGAAGTCTTCCTTATTCTTTTCCATTCTTTAGCCTCATATTCTGTATTCACATCAGGATGCAGATTCAGAAATCCACAGAACTCGTTAGCTCTGTTTCCTGAAGCTACAAATGCTTCTATTCATCCTATTGAACATAGACTAGACAGTTTATTTCCAAGTCTCATAAGCCTTATTAAGCTTCCTGGAGCTTAATACAACTGGATCCATACATATAACCTTAACAAGTTCGATTACACCTTATGTGGGAGGTGCCAAGGAAACCCTAGGGATGGTATTGCAGGAGAAATATTCTAAGATGTACAAAAAGTGCTCCAACTTGTTACTAAAGGGTGTGGTGTTCTTAGTCTCTGCAAGAAAATTCAGACCCCAGGCATTTTACAAACATGTCAGGTCTCAGCTCAGAACAAGCTCAGGAAGATATAATTGTCCCTAGGATTCTAAGTAACTATTAGATAATTTCACTGTCTCAGCTTTTTAGAGTTCAGTGTTGACACAATAGAAACAGGAGGCCTCAAAGTCTGGTATGGAGTATATATTGGTGTTATGGTACCAAAAACAAGGTGATCCTGTATATGGCTACATTCTGATTATCTCTCATCTAATCAAGTAGGGACAAAAAGCAGTAGAGGCTACCATTTTAAGCCTTTCTTCAGTAGTTCTTACTCTCTGCTGCAAGTACAATGGTCTAAATGAGACACGATTCTTGATGAGGCATGTGAAACCCTCCTCTGGAGACCTTTTCTGTCTTCTCATACCTGACACTTCAGTGTGCTCAGCAGCTGCTGCTCCTTTTCACTAATTGACTCCTCCAGCTGCTTCTCTGCCACTTGGCTTTGCTGTAGCTGGCTAAGAAGGTACAGCACCTAGAGAAAGACACAATCCATAGTAGTATCAGAGGAACCAGGGGAAAGAAGGATTTTCACCTAGTTCAAGCAGTGATCCAAGTGACTCCTTCATGATTTACAGGCAAACTGTTCTTTTTGCTCTATGGCTTGAACAGCAACAATGTTTCTCAGCACATTAATCTTGGGATTCAAGCCAGAAGCTAAGAGCTATTACCATGGGTAGGTATGAACTTAGGTATATCACTTTTCTCTGTTTCATGTTTCTCATTTGCAAAATTTAGAAAATAGCACATGCACTTTTGAAGGAAATTCATTACCCTCCACTACTTTTTTAAGCTAACAAAGGGCAATGACAGCTTTGTGTCTGTATCTAGCTTCTTGGCTTGTCAGTGTACCTTCTCTTGGTGCTGTTGCTCCATTCTGACCAGCTCAGCTTGTAACTCTGTCTCTATCTCGGCAAAACGATTTCGTTCCTCATACAGCATCTTCTGCATGTCCACACAGCTGGCCTTGCTCTGTTTCAGGCTGCTTTCAAGCTTGCTGACCTGTATTTTGGAGGAGACCAGCTAGAAGAGATAAAAGAGATCAATTTACTTGGAGAATAACCCACCTTTCCCCATTCATTAGGCAGGAACATATTAGCTTTCTTTAAATGGTCTGAGGAAAGTGTCTTCATGTGTAATTCCATTCTTATTTTTTCATGTCATATGGATTCTAACAGTGAATATTAATAGGACTACTGTTCTGCTCCTAGGCCAAGAGTCCATATTTCTACTGTGACATGTATTTGAGTTCTGAAAGCAATAGCTAAATTCATTTTATATCTTGCTCTCCCTTAAGGTCCAAATAAACCTAACCTGAACAGTATATGATGATTCCAAAATTCTGATATTTAAGTCTGAAGAGAAATTGACATGACACACCCTTATGTCCAATTCTGTCCTGTCTCAGAATGTCTGTGTTCACACGTCAGAACTTGTAGACACTTTAGCTGAAACTGCAGATCTGGCTCTTCAGGCTGGATTCATATCCTGTGCTGGCCTAGTTTTGCATTTACTACTAGCCCAGATGGTGAACATCATAAATACCAGCATTCACAAACCTAATCAAGATTTCTTGGTAGAACAAATCTGCTAACCTAACACCAAAATGTGAAAGGGTTGCATTACTTTAACTTGTGGATTCAGATGGATTTTTTTTTTAAAGAGAGAGTGAGAGAGGAGAGGGGGAGAGAGAGGGAGGGAAGGAGGGAGGGAGGGAGGGA